AAGGAATCCGACTAATATTTCTTTTGTAGTAATTTGGTTTCTTAAACATCTCACATTTTTCTTTTATGTCAGAGATTGCTGATTTTTGTTATGGTACAAATTGAATTTCTTTTCCTTCTTTTGAAGTAAAGCAGCTTCATAGCTGTAGCTTATGGTTGTGTTAAATAGGTAGCAAAGAATAGCATCTTTGAGAAGATAAATGTCATGAGCGTTCAAAGTAGACATTTAGTCTTTTGGATTACTGGGAAAGAAGGTCAATAATTGCGTGGATTTCAGTAAGCTTAAAAATAATATTCTTGTGCTGCTATAATAATATTAAAACATTGAATTAATTTCTGTGCGTTGCATTTCGATGTTTGACTCTTTCATTATGGTAGAATCACCTGTTTTGTAATGTACTATTTTTTATATTTTCATATGTATGGTCATAAGGACATTTGGTTAACAATGGACTGCATATACAATGGTTGTCCCATAAGGTTATAGTACCATATTTTTACTGTACCATTTCTGTGTTTAGGTATGTTCAGATACACAAATACTTGCCATTGTGTTACAGTTGCCTAAGTAGGCTGTTCTGTACAGTAACGTGCTATACAGCGTGTAGCCTAGGAGCACGCACCATGCAGCCGAGGTGTGTGTGTAGTAGGCTGCACCATCTAGGGTTGTGTTAGCATGGCCTGTGGTGCTCGCATGATCAAATCACCGAGTGATGCATTTGTTAGACTGTATCCCTTTCATTAAGCGACACATGACTCTGTATGTGTGTGTGTGTGTGTGTGTGTGGAGAGAAAGAGAGACTGACTGTAGGAGATAAATTACTTGACATTTTCAGAGGAAAACTTGGACCCATGTTATACATTTCTCAGAATTACAGATTATTTTTCTGTCTTTCACCCATTTTCTTGTTGTTGTTTAGGGCCCTCCAGAATTCCCACAGCATACACCTGGACCTGTTCCCAACAACTTCAGTCAGCCCCCACGACTTCCTCTCCAGGACCAGTGGAGAGCCCCACCCCCGCCTCAGGAGCGAGACCCTTTCTTCTTAGGAGGTATGTAAAGATTGAGTGGCGTGGACTAACTTAAGAGAAGCTGTATTAGGCGATGTACCTGAACACACGTTATTTCTTAAACTGAATTTAACTCCCAGTAGGAGGTTTTGTTAAGAATGTCAGACTTTATACCATAGCAGTTCTGCCTATCATTTCAAATGCTAAAATTGGACATAGTTGATATGTGAAATGTGAAAATTTTATATACAGGAGGAAATTGTTCATAGAAAATGACAAAGCAGTCTAGAAATAAGAGCCAAAATCTAGAATTTCCTGCCTACACTGTAATGTTCGTCCACAGTAAGATCAAGCTGCTTTTCTAAGAAGCCCTTTCTAACCTGAAGATAATGTTACTGTACCACCCTTCAGTTTCAGGTGAACCAAGGTTCCCAAGTCATCTTTTTCTGGAACAGCGAAGTCCCCCTCCACCACCACCTCCTCCCACGCTTCTTAACAACAGCCATCCTGTTCCCACTCAGAACCCGTTACCATTCACTCAGCCAGGACCAGCATTTAATCAGCAAGGACAGCAACCGGTGTTCCCGAGAGAGAGGCCCGTCAGACCAGCCCTGCAGCCTCCGGGTCCAGTGGGGATTCTGCACTTCAGCCAGCCAGGGTCAGCACCCACACGGCCTTTCATCCCTCCTAGACAGCCCTTCCTGCCTGGCCCCGGACAGCCCTTTCTGCCCACGCACGCACAGCCCAGCCTGCAGGTATGCGTCCTGGCCAGTCTTGAGGGGAATGTCTGTGTGTAGCTGAATCTTTGTGTTTTATTCACATTTTTATTCTAGTCTACTCATTTGTGGTTATTTAAAGAATAAGGGTTTTAGTCTTAAATGTACTGTTTATTAAAGACAACTTTTTTTGGACAATATTGCTTTGTCTCGTCTATACAAGGAGGAATTGGAAAAGTAATTGTCATTTTTGAGGGAATTAAAAAACGTCACCATTAGAATTTTCTAAAGGATGTACTACCAGTAAAAATTAGGGCATGTTTTGATAATACATTTGCTCATCTTTGCAAGATTTCTTGAAAGGTTTACCAGTGAAAATAAAACATTTGGTCAAATTACATTCCTGCAGTAGACAATGAGTGCATGGAGGGGAAGAAGTGTTGGTCTTCACTCATCATTGGAAGGACTTGAGTGCCCTCTGCTGACGGTTTATGTTTCATGGCTTGACTTTGAGTATCTGTAACATCTTTTTTACCCAGTACGTTTCTTCTTGTATTTTAGGTTTACTATTA